AAGTGGAGGATGGGGCTGCCCCTTGCTCGGCGTGGGGCGGGGCGGGGGGGGCAACACGACACTCCCCCAAGCTTCAGCCTGCTGCTCAGGTCAGCAGTCTCGGGTCAGGCCCCAGCTGGGAGGGCTGAGGGAACCGTAAACCACACGGCCCCACGTGGGGTGCAGGAGTCAGTCCAGCCCCAGGCGGAGGAGGAGGATGAAGGGGAAGAGGAAGAGACGGAGGAACTGGGACATGCGGAGACCTATGCAGATTACGTACCTTCCAAATGTGAGTCGAGTGGCCTTGCTGCTGGGCCCAGCAGTCCCGTTGCCTGCAGCTGCGGACAGCGGGGTTGCATTGCGGCCCCTATTTGCAGGCTGGCTTACATGTGCCTGTAGGCCAGCGCTGGGCAACCGAGGCCAGTGAGTGGGCTGCACACGTGGCCTCCATCTCCAGGGCCACCAGACTGCCCCGTCCCGGGAGACCGTCTTGGTTCCCACAGTGTTGCTGGCTGCGCTTGCGTTGCTAGAATGTGCAGGGGGGGAACAGGTTGAACCGGAGCAGCACTGGGACAGGTGCAGAGGGAGCATGCGGCGATCAGCCCTGCCCTGGTTTTCTGTGCCTGTCCCGTTAGTAACCCCGGTAGGAAAAACCCGACATGGGCGGAAACCAGCAGAGTCTGGCAACCCTGCGCGTGGGACACGGTGACAAAATGTCTAATGGTCACGCACAGAGCCCCCGCGGGCCGCCCGCCTCTGCCCTGTGCTCTTCCACTCGCTAGTCTCCTGGGTTCGCATCAGCTCTGGCTGTTGATTTGTATGGGGGGGAGCAGTCCACATTCCCCCCTGGATAAAGGGGCTGGTGGCACGGGGGGGTTCCCAGGAATTCCAGTGGTTAGAAGAAACTGAGGCAGGGCCTCTGTGGTCTGTTCACTCTGCTCTTGGCTGGCTGTGCCTGTGGGGGTCACGTAACCTCTTTGCCTCAGCTGGCCGATGGGGCAGGACGCGGCGCTCAGCCGGGGGGGGGGGGAGTGCGCCTGGGGGCCGTGGGCGAAATGCAGACCTCCGTTACCGGGCCGTTTCCTGTGTCTCCCTCCAGCCAAGCTTGGGAAGCAGCATCCCGACCGCGTGGTTGAAACGAGCACCCTCTCCAGCGTGCCCCCGCCTGACATCACCTACACCCTTTCCCTTCCCAGCGCCGTGGCCGACAACGGGTTACTCTCTGCACTACAGCTGGAGGCCATCGTGTATGCCTGCCAGGTGCGCCCTGCCCCCTCGCTCGGCGCGTCACGGGGAGGTGGGAGTAGCCATTCGGGAGGCGCACCGGGAACGCACCCAGGGGCAGGGAGCAGGCAGTGGCCACCCCCTCGGGGCCAAGGAGGGGGGGATCGGGAGCAGGCAGTGGCAGCCCCCTCGGGGCCAGGGGGGGGGGGATCGGGAGCAGGCAGTGGCAGCCCCCTCGG